TGGCTCACCTCCAGTGGCTGCAGCCACTTGGGGAGTTACCCAGTAGATGGAAGATCTTTCTCTCTGTATTTCCTTCTATCTGCCATCCCAATAAACAAATTACAGTAAATCTTAAAAAAAAAAAAAAAAAAAAAGGCAGGCCACTGCTATATTCATGTGGGAATTCATCTTATATTTTGTACAGTGGTTAACCACGTGTTACCAAACACTGCTTAGCTCATATGATTAGCACAAATAGACACCAATGTGCTATTACTTTTAAAAACTATTCTATTAGGTTGTGGCTCATTAGGCTAATCCTTCATTTGTAAGCCCCAGCACCCCATGTGGGTGCCAGTTCATATCTCAGCTGCTTCACATCTGTCCCAGCCTGCGGTCTGGGAAAGCAATGGAAGTGGTCCCAGGTCCTTGGGCCCCTGCATCATGTGGGAGACCAGAAAGAAGCTCCTGGCTCCTAGCTTAGGATCAGTTCAGCCTTGGCCACTGTGGCCACTCGGGGAGTGCACCAGTGGATGGAAGATCTTTCTCTCTCTGTTCTTTTTTCTCTCTATAACTCTACCTTTCTGATACAAATAAATGGTTTTGTAGCACAGTACATTATGCTGCTGCCTGCAATGCCAGTATCCCGTGTGGGTACCTGTTTGAGATCCAGGTGCTCCACTTCTGATTAAGCTTCTTCTAATTGGCCTGGGAAAGCAGCAGATGACCCAAGAGCTTGGGCCTTGACCTTCTGGTGGATGACCCAGCAGAAGCTCCCAGATCCCAGCCTGATCCAGTCCTAGCTGTTGTTGGAGAGTCAACCATAAACAGAAGATCACTTTTCTCTATGCATGTGTAATTCTGCCTTTCAAATTCATTAATAAATCTTCATTAAATATTTTTAAAATCAATTTGTTGAATTAGTAAACTGTTACAAAGAGGTCAGAGATAATAATGATAATGAAAACTAAGAACAAAAAAGTAACTTTTTATTTCAGATCGTATAACTGCCCATTTCTTCCAATTTTCCTAACTCCATATGTTCTCACCATCCACCCAGATGCTCAAACCCAAGAAGCCTGGAAACTATTCTAGATGTCTCATTCTTCTAATTCCCTCACAGCCAATTTATCACCAAAACTCCTTTTGTTTCTAAGGACAGGATGTTTCTTTTGTATTCCCACAGCATCATTTCAAGCTTCCCTATCCCCAAATCAGACAAACTCCACAACTAAGCTTTGTTGCTATGAATCTAATTTAATGAGTCTTAGATAGATAGGGCAGAGTATGACAGACAGGAGAAAGTAAAACAAAGAACAGGATACGTACAGGCTAGTAAATTAATTTTACTATCACTTTTTTTCCACTTATTCCTACATTCTTATCCATATACTTCAACTCAGACAGCAAGTATCATGTCTGCTTTTGAAGTCATTCCAAGTTTCTTCAGGCAAAATACACACTCAGTTTTACCCTCTTTGTACAGCTCAATTAGAGCACTTATTGTAGCAAATTATCTGTTTCACATCCATTTACCCTACTGAACAAAAGTCTAGTCTGTTTCTAACGCAGAGCCTTACTTCAAAAATATCTGTTGAATGCTTCTGTATGAGACTTGGAGTTATAAAGAAAAATCTAAGCTTCAATAAAAGCTAGGATGGATACCAGAGACTGAAAAAACGAGGAGCTATATAGCTATCAATAAACAGTAGATTAAAAGTGCTAAAGTAAAATTTCAGGGACAGAGAATAATGGCAAAATGTAGAAGGCATTTCCACAGAGATGGGGTATTAGATAATAGAGTTCCCCTATGAAACACTTGGTAGAAAAACAGGTCATTTAGAATCTCACAGAAATGCAGAGGTGGAAAAATGCCTAACTTACAAAACAACATACTTTCTGACAGGAATATGCATCTAGAAACAAATTTCATAAAATGTTAATGAGCAGATTATTTAATCAAAAGAAAGTACTTTAAAATAAATCATCAATCCCCTCTAATATCATCTCCAAAGATCCAAAATCTGTGGAACTGAATCATTAACACACACACACAGGCTCAAAGAAGCCTCTGAAACCATTACAGTTAAATTAACAGAAGGAATAAAGTTATTAAAATAAAAAGTGCCTAACATACTGAACTCCGACAGCTTTTCCTTACAAAATCCCAATATCTTATATACCTGAACACCATTAAAAGGAAATGGAGAGCCTAAAAACAAAATTATTACTAATGATAGACATGTTTTAGATATTCAAAATATTATTTCCCTACATTTCAACGTAGAACAGCCTTCTCAGCGTAAAATAGCTTTCACTGGCACTTTGGCAGGCCCATGACCAACCAAGACAGTAAATCTAGAGGAGGAACTGCAGCTTTCTGCACAGCACGCTCCGTGGAGACTTCAGCCAATGCCAAAGACAGATCCATGTATATTTCACTTCAAACGTGCTGTGGTAGCCAGTGAGTCCCTGCAATCTGAATTTGGACATTCAAGTAACCCACTTGCATGATTCTTGCCTTAATGACTAAAAGCAGCAAACATTCAAATAATACCTCTCAGACAAAGATAAATCATTAACCACTCTACGAGTTTTCTTCTCACACCCTCCGGCAATCAAGAAACACAAATCAGAAACAATCTGTCAATTGAGATTTATGAAATGAAGTGCACTTCTTTTAATACACGCAGATACCTTAAACTTGAAACCTAAAGTATAAAGAGGTAATGATAATAACTAATAGTTAATGAACATTCACTCTGCAGCCAGCAATGTCTAAGCATTTTAATATATTTACATATAAATGTAAATCTCTTGTATTCTCCTTTCTCAGATGAAGAAACTAAAACAGAAATGTACAAACAGAGTCAAGGAACAAAGACACGAAAACAGAAATAATTAACGAGATTGAGAAGCAAAAAATTCCATTCTACAAAGCAAGTTTTTGTTCTATGAAAACATGATACAATTCTACAAAGCAAGAACAGACTGTCCAAACTCTAGAATAAAAATGACAATCTTCTTTATCTATTTCCACATCCCTGCCAGATAATCCATATAAAACCATATTCTTCACTTTAGAGTACACCATAATCAGAAATCTGAGTTAAAAATGTTCAACAAGAGCACAACAGTAAAGAATTTAAAATATCAAAGTGAAAATTTTGAGGGTAACAAATGTTAGCTTCCAAATCTCTGATTTTTGTATTATTAACAACTGATTACGCTTTGGAAAAATCAGTCCCTAATAAGATGCTTTAAAAAAAAAAGCTTTTTTAACAATAACAAAAAATTTCTTTTCCCTTACTTCAAATTTTAACAAGACCCCACACCTCCTTTTTTACCACCTGGGAGGCCCATGACTCTTTCACTCCATGGATACTAACAAAACTAAAGAAAATTTCAATGATTTCAAATCCTTGGATATAGGCATAATAAGCTACAAATTAGCACATAAGAACTACTTATTGAATGGTTGGCTCACCAACTCAAATATGCATGTACTGAAGATAGTTATTTTAGTATTTTCTATCAATTGGAACACTCAGACGATACCACACATTACTATAGCACCAAAATAAGCTTGTGAAATCCATCTTTTGTTTTTTTTAACCCTTTGCTTTAAACCATATGACCAAAAAGCCATTAGTCACATCAAAAAGCTGTTAGTCACATAAGAGTGAGAAAAAAAAAAAAAACTATAAATGTTTAAGTCTGCTTATGTGGCTATTGGCAATCTAAGCTATAAAACTTATAATGAGCATATTCTTTAAACACTGATATTATTAACATGTGAGAGGGGGAGAGGGAGATGGGGAGTTACTCAGAGAACAGGGGACAGAGACTCTTGCATCCACCAGTCCACTCCCCAAATGCTCCCACAAGTCAGAGATGGACCAAGCTCACTGGAAGCTGAGCACTCAGTCTAGGGCTCCCACATGGGTGGCAGAAACCCATTACTTAACCCATCGCCATCACTCCACAGGGTCTGCTGAGTAGGAAGTTAGAGTCAGGACCAGGAACTAGACCCCAGGGTAATCTAAAACTGGGATCCAAGTGCCTTCACTGTTAAGGTAAAGATCTGCTCAATCAGTTTTTAAAAACCTGATGTAAGAAAATTCGTTTCAGGCCTAGTGCAATGCTCAAATGGCTAATCCTCTTCCCTTAAAGTACGAGCGTCCCATATGGGCATGGATTCCCATCCCAGCCGCTCCACTTCCAATTCAGCTCTCTGCTCATGGCCTGGGAAAGCAGTCGAGGATGGTCCAAAGACTTGGGACCCTGCACCCATATTGGAGACCTGGAAGAAGCTCCTGGCTCCTGACTTCAGATCATCTCAGCTCCAGCTATTGTAGTCACTTGGGGAGTAAACCAGAGGATGGATTTGCTTCTGTCTTTCCAACTGAAGTAAATAAATCGTTTATTAAATAATTCATCTCACTATACTAAGAAAGATTGTTACTTTAATAGTAACGCTCAAGGAGCCTAAACAATACAGTAGGTTAAGCCACTGGCTGTAACACAGCATACCATTTGACCACTGGCTGCAGTACCAGCTGCTCCATTTCTGATCCAGCTCCCTACTAATGTGCATGCGAAAGGAGTAGGGTACTTGAACTCCTTCTACCCATGTGGGAGACTAGGATGAAGTTCATGGCTCCTGGCCTCAGGCTAGCCTACCACCCAGCCATTGTGACCATCTGGAGAGTAAACCAACCAATAGAAGATCTCTTTTTCTTTCTCCCTCCCTCCCCCTCCTCTCTATATATGTTTCAAATAAATACACAACTCTTTTTTAAAAATTTGTAATATTCTAAATGCAATGAACAATAAACTAAGAAAAAATGAAAATAAACATATACATCATACTGAATATAAACTGGAAAAAATTTCCAGCTAGTTAATTTACAAGTAAGTATTCTTGATCCATTAAAATACCTCATTACAAAAATGCAGTTTAAAACATTTGCACTGAATGATCTGGAAACTGATCGTGATTAAAAGTTCTTTCACCTTACCTGATGAGCTCTCGGTGAATACTGTTAGGGTCTGTCCTCCAACACTTTGCAAAACAAATGGATGTTCTCGGGGAGCACTGACTGAAGCTGGTTTCCCACCAATATCATGAATATTTGCAAGATCTTCATTCAAAGTAAATGACACCTACGAGTCACATTAACCAAAGCTTCTTAATATAGACCCCTGAACTAAAATTATCTGTACATAAATTTTTATTATAAATCACTTTTAAAAATAAATTTTCCAGCTAGTCTAGTAAACATTTTTGAATTTCTAAAACCTTTAATACTTAGTCATTAAGGAGAATTTATTCCCAATTCTCAAAACCATACAGAACTTTCCCAACACTATAAACCCAGCTTCTTTTCTCTGGTCTGTGGCTAAAGAAATATTCTCAAAACAGAAGTCAAATTATGTTTTTCCAAAGGGCTCTCAGTTCATGTGTTATTACCTTCATATGCTAAGACCTAACAACATTCCTGGCACATGGAAAGAAAATGATGTTTGTAGAATGTGTGAGTATTTTAAGAATATTTAAAAGGCTTAATTAAAAAAAAGGAAAAAGTGAGGTATTCATTCTGAAAAGTTAAATGCTCCCATAAATGGAGGGTTGAGTTCTTTTTTAAGTTCTAATGATTACTGGAAACATACATGGTACTGTTTGATTTTTTTAACACTTTAACAAATACAAGTAAATATTCACAATAAAATATAACAGTAAGGTTTAGAATAAAACACATAAGTGTTCTTTCAAAAAGATTTTTACTATTCACTACATCTCTCTAAAGGCCTGTCGAATTTTATATTAGAATGATTTATAAACATACAATTACAGCCCAGGTTCAAAGATCATAAACATCTATTAAGTACCTAATAGCATTAATACTGTGATATATGCTGTAAATTATGAACTGGATTTAGCACATTAAAATCTAAAGCCCTAAAACATCCAAAGTTAATGCCCGTGCCACAGTGAAGGGAATACCAAAAGTAATACTTAATTCTATTTCATAGTACTGACAAGAGACATACTGAAGGCAAGGGAGGAAAATGCTGAAAATGAACCACGAAAGAGCTCACTCATCCACACACCAGTGGCACCTGTATCTATGTATTCCTGTCAGTCACTCAGCTGACACGGAGTTTTCCAGAAGGCAAACAATAATTCTATTTACTAATGTAATGAAAAGTAAAACAAGTTCATCCGTCAAATAAGTTGTATATAAATAATAATCTTACCTCAGTCCTTCCTTGATTCCTAAAAAAAGAGCAAAAGAAATCTTTTAAATTGTTTAGCTTTCATTTCCTTTTCAAATGAGAATTAAAAGTTAAAGAAATATCAGTACTTCACATTTGCATAAAGCATTACATGTAAGATATTAATATTTACACTGGGATCTCTCCGACTACCCTACTTATGATTCTACAGGAAAAACAAAGTCACACTAATTCCACATGATCGCTGTAGATATTATGAGCCTGTGTCATTTAATGCTTTCACAATCTGTCATACAATCATTTGTCCAAATAATTATCTCATTATAATACTTACCTTTACTTTTGAGAACTTTTTCACTCAGCAGAATTTGAACATCTACTTAATATCAAATTGAACAGCAGCCATTTGGCATGCCAGTAAAAATGGCACTCAAGACACTAACATCCGATACCAAAGCGTCTGGGTTCAATAGCACTAGCTGTTGAAGGTCTTAGGCAAGTGAACCAGCAGATGCAAGAGTGAAGTCTCTGTCACCATGCCTTTCAAATAAGTAAAAATTAGCTTTGAAAAAAGTTTCACAAATACCCAATCTAGGGGACAGCGCCATAGTGTAGTAGGCTAAGTCTCCATCTGTGGTGTTGACATCCCATATGGACACCAGTTTTTGTCCTCACTTTTGATCTAGCTCTCCACTTATGGACTAGGAAAGCAGAAGGGAATGGCTCAAGTCCATGGGGCTCTGCATCCACATGAACACCTGGAAGAAGCTCCTGACTCCTGGTTTTGGATTGGCTCAGCTCAGAGCCCAGAAGTCATTTGTAGAAATGGAACATCTATATTCAACTCCCAGCTTCAGTTTCCAGACTTTTGCAGGCCAGTGGGTAAGTGTGTTCTCTCTCTTCTTCACCTTCTGTCTTGCTACCTCTTCAATGAATGAATAAATAAAAAATATATTTTTAAAAAAGGGTACAGCAGATTACACTGTTGCAGTACTGGCTTGATTCCTAGATATTTTTAATAAATGTCAGCTTCCTGCATACACACTTGAGCCACCATCATCCATGTGGAACACCAAGATGGAGTTCCTGGCTTATGGCTTTGGCTTAGCCCTGACCTGGCTATTGCAGCCATCTGGAGAGTGAGCCAGCAGAATGGAAGATCTCTGTTTCTGTTGTTCTGCTTTGCAAATAAATAAGCGAATCCTTCAAAGTAACTCATTCTTACTAGAAGGGAGGACTTTAAAGGGCAGCTCTGAGCTGAGCCTTGAAGGACTGCAGGTGGGAAATACAGTTCCAGGAGTGAACAGCTCAGCAAAACCATGAATGGGTCTGACAACAAGTCAGTGATCAGATTTGGCTGCCAAAGAGCGAAATAAGGACAGCAGATGAACTACCAGGGAGAACCAAGGCTAAACTGTGGAAGTTCTTGAACAACATGACTCAAAAATACGGACCTCACTTTGGGCCATGGAAATCCACAGACATTGTTAGAAAAAAAAAAAAAACAGTATTACAAAGATGTACCTCTGGAAGTTGGCAACAGAAAACATACATATAATGGATGAAAGGTAAACAGACATGAAGACCCATCAGGAAACTACTGCTTTCTCCCTAATACCCAGGTTAGTTCCAACCTAATCTCATTTTGTTACTCAATCATTAAGAATAAATACATTATCCAGCACCACTGTGTTGGGTGCAGGATACAGGAATACAAGCTTTTATGAACCTGAAGCCAGAAAAAGAGGATATGAGTGAGGAGCATACTAGCCTAAGCTAAACAGCAGAAATGACAAAGTGCCTAGCACCTTCTTTCTGACACCAGTGAATGACAGCCTGGGGTGGGATGCTAAGAGTCTCTCGGGGTAAGGCTAAGGAGCCCACATTCTAGAACAGATTTGTTTACTGTAGGACTTCTTCTCAGTCTTTCCTATGTTAAAATGCAATGTCAAACACCTTCTGTTGGTGAAGTATGTAAAAAAGAAGTGAGAACATTTTAAGATTTCACATAAAATTCAGAATTTCCAGCCTCTCTGTGCAGACTGGAAGATCTGGCAGCAAGTGTTTCCAGAGTGACATGACAACAATCCCCTTGACATGCATTTAGGTCAGACACTGAATTTACCACAGTTCCTTTCCTTTCCATTAGCCCCACGTGACCTTGTCTGTCTCTCCTTAGCACAAGGTCTCACTGACTTAAGGGAGTGATTTCCCAGGAGTCATCTGCCTCTCCAACAGATAAATACCTTAATGGCGAGTATGATCTGCAAGGAAATCCTGAAACTAGATTTGAGTAATCCCCACATCAAGAGTTGGAGCCCACTAGATTATTGTAAATCCTCTATAGATCACAGCATGGCTGACAAATCAGGAACCTTGCATGTGTGCACCTTTCAGCCCCAATTTTCTGTCTATAGAAACCTTCACCCCAACTCCTCAGGGAACCCAGGAATTAAGTAACAGCTGCCCAGCTCCTTGCTCTAAACATTGGAATAAAGACCTACTTTCTTCTACTTCCCTGATTGTCCTGATGTAAGTGATTGGATTTTTTAAATGTAAAGATTCATTCATTTTTATTGGAAAGGCAGATCTACAGAGAGGACAGAGAGACTCAAGAGGCCACAACAACTCAAGATGAGCTGATCTGAAGCCAAGAGCCAGGAACTTCTTCCGGGTCTCCCATGTGGGTGCAGGGTCCCAAGTCTTTGGGCCATCCTCTACTCTCTCTTCCAGGACCACAAGCAGGAACTTGGACAGGAAGTGGAGCAGCTGGGACATGAGCCAGCAGCCATATTTGATCCCAGTTCTTTAAGAGGGAGGATTAGCCAACAGAGCCATTGTATGAGGCCCAGTGATAGTTTTTCTGCAAGTGAGTGGACCCAGTTTGTGATTCTAAGCCTCCAGCCAGTTTGCCATATCATTTAACAACACTATCACTTCTGAATTTTGTATCTAGAGGCATTTAATTTAGCTAACTTTATGACGGAGAGGCAATAGAACAAAGGCAATGTGACAGAAGACATTCTCATAAGGTTAATGGAATTCTATATGGAGGTAAATACAAAAACCCATATAAAAGTAGTGAATCACAGTGTGGTCGAATGCAAAGTAGGGGTCCATGACTGGGTCATACGTGACCTGAGAGAGGCTACAGAAAAGGAAATGACTGCAAGTGGGCAGGAAAAGAAAACAGATAATGTTGACATTTACAGTCTGGGTAACTGGAAATCACTCAAACGCAAATTAGGGAACACAGGAAGAGGAACAACTTCATTCTCATATCTGTATAGAACAGCATGTTAGCTGGAATAATCAAAGTAGTAAGTCCTGGATGAATTAATTTTCTAGGAAGAAAAGTCAACTATTGAATACTTACAAACTTATGTAGGAGTTAAGTCTAGCACTGAGGTCAAGAAGCTGCATTTGTGTCCTTATATTGCATTATATATTGGAGTCCTACACCAGACTTGGGTTCTACATTGCCGTATCCAGGTTTGATACCAGATCCCAGCTTTCTGCTACTTGCAGATCAAGGAAGGCTCAAGTAGTTAAGACCCTTCCACCCACATGCAAGGCCTGGATTGAGTTCCTGGTTTTCAGCTTTTGCCGGGCCAAATCTCAAGGACTATGAGCATTTGGGGAGTTAATCCAGCAAATGGAAACATTTTCTCTCTCTCTCTCTCTCTCTCTCTCGCTCTCTCTCTCTCTCTCTCTCTCACACACACACACACACACACATATGAATACATTAACTGCACAGGGAAGAGCACATTTACAGTGAAGAAATTGAGAAGACATCCCTTAAGAGGGCAAATATCAGGGCATAGTAAGCTGAGCCTGCATCTGCTATGCCAGAATCCAATATGGGCACTAGCTGGAGTTCCAGCTGCTCCACTTCAGATCCAGCTCCCAGCTTTGCTCTGGGAAAGCAAGAGGATGGCTCAAGTGCTTGGGCCTTCCATCCATGTGGGAGATGCGTAAGATCTTAGCCACTGATTTCAGATTGGCCCAGCTCTAGCCATTCAGGCCACTTGGGGAGTAAACGAGAAGGAAGACCTCTCTGTCTCTGTGTAATTCTGCCATTCAAATAAAAATAATTAAAAAAAATGCATCCCTTAATCAAGCGAAAAGTGTTACAATTAACAATAATGAGACAAGCTGAAAACACACAAACCTAACTTCTCCACTGCTATACTCCTGCCAAAGACCTATAACCCAAATTTGATCACAAAGAAGGATCTGACAAAACCACCCTGCACCAACAGAACAACTCAGTAACACTACAAAAGTTAAGGGAGGACTTTGAAATGTTTTCGAATGAAGGAAACTAAAAAAGACATAACAATGAAACCTCAGGCTCTACTCCTTTTCCTTCAGAGTGTTACTCAACTGATGAGCCATGGATGAAATCTGAGGATCAGGTAGTAGTAACAGCTGAATTCAGTTAGTGTACTGATTCTGAGAGGTAGATTGTGATTAGGTTGGAGAATGCTTTTTTTTTTTTTTTAAGACTTGTTTTATTGATTTGAAAGGTAGAATGACAGAGAAAGTGGGAAAGATGGAGTAAGTCTGTCTCCATCCACCAGTACACCCCCTCAATGGCCACCAAGTCAGGACTGGACCAGGCCAAAGCCTGGAGGCATGGAATTCCATTCATATCTTCCAAATGGTTGGTAGGAGCACAAGTACTAGTACTTTTGCTGCCTTCCAAGACACATTAGCAGGGAGCTGGTTAAGGCAGGGAAGTGAAGACTCCAACCAGCGCTCATCTGGAACCCAGTGTCACAGCTGGTGGCTTAACCTGCTGCATCACAACACAAGTCCCAGGTCTTTGTAGGAAAAAAAAAAAAAAAATAGAATATTTGAGGGTCATGGCATAAGGTTGGTAACTTTCAGTTGGTTAAGCAAAAAGACTTTTATACTGTTCTTCCAATTCTTATACTTTGAGTTTTTTTTTAAATAAAAGTATTGTTTTTAAAGGGTACAGAATTTAGGGTCTAGTATGATGCCACAACTGTCTGACCCTCTCCTTGCAAGCACCAGGAACCCATATGGGCGCTGGTTCTAATCTCGGCAGTTCCACTTCCCATCCAGCTCCCTCCTTGTGACCTGGGAAAGCAGCAGAGGATGGCTCAAAACCTTGGGACCCTGCACCCGTGTGGAAGACACAGAAGAAGCTCCTGGATCCTGCCCTCAGATTGGCTCACCTCTGGCTGTTGGAGCTATCTGGTAAATGAACCAGAAATGGAAGATCTTTCTGTCTCTCCTTCTCTTTATAAATCTGCCTTCCAAATAAGAATACATCTTTAAAAGGGTATACAGTTTAAATAATCCTTTAGTAACAAAACTGAAGGCATAAATTATTTTTCTCTACTATAATCAGGGCTGAATTAATGTATTTTATATCTTTGTATCACTAACTTGCCACTTCTGTGGAATAGTTCCTAGAAATAAATGAGTGATTGAGTCAAGGTACAATTTTTTTCTGTCTTTTCTGCTCATTATCGCATCACACTTAGCTGGATGCATTTATTTCTGTCTCAATATAGAGACACCACCGAGAACAGGGCATAATGCTAAAGCTGTGAGGCACAGAAAACAGTGGGATTACTCTTTCCTTGTTTTGAGCAGCAATACCATGTATGTGTTGCACAAATGCTATATATACATATATATGTATATATTTCAGTATATGTGTATATGGATATTTTTAGACTAGCTTGAAAAAGTCTGCTATTATCAATGGCATATTCCTATTCTAAGCTAATTCAATTTCTCAACAGAAATATTACTCATGGGTCTGTTAACTGTGCTTAGAAAGACAGCTAGAGGACCTAGTATGATGGTACAACTGGCTAATCCTTCCCCTAACACACTGGGATCTCATATGGGCACAAGTTCATGTCTCAGCTTCTCCACCTCCCATCTAGCTCCCTGCTTGTGGCCTGGGAAAGCAGTGGAGCATGGCCCGAAGCCTTGAGACCCTGCACCCGCATAGGAGACCCAGAAGAAACTCCTGGCTCCTGACTTCAGATTCACCTAGCTCTGGCCATTGTGGCCATCTGAGAAATGAATCAGTGGTTTGAAGATCTTTCACTTTGTCTGTCCTTCTCTCTGTAAGTCCACCTTTCCAATAAAAATAAATCTTTAAAAAAAAAATTAAAGTCTTTCAGAGAAGCCAGGTTAGTGGCCTATGCTTCATGATTGTCAACAAATACAACATGAATCAACTATTGAGAGAACTGTAGTATTCTGAGGCCGGATAGTGATATCAAAGAAGCCTGGATGTGACAATCAAAAAGCTCAAGCATAAATAAGTAAGTAAATGAATAGTTAAAACGTGGCACACAGCAGATGTCCAAAAGTATAAAAAGAATTCAAGTACAACAATTTAGGAACATCACAAAAGTTGCTTGGCAATAATGGCCCAAATCTTACCAACTGTTGTTATGTTTGTCTCATCTTATTCATAATTGGATTCTCCCTTTTCCAGGTATCAAAGACAGAACCAATCTGGGGAAGAGTTGCACCCCCTGCTGCCATTCTTCTCTCCCACCTCCACCCCACAGCACATCCTCCTAGCTTTTGGTCCATGCCACATCGCTAACTCTGGGAGACTGGTAGGAAGGTGAGGTCCACACTTTATGTTACCTTACACAAGCAGCAGTTTCCTCTGCTCAGCTGTGCGTATGTAGAATGACTTACAGAGTAAGAAAAATTATTAATGTATTGAATCTATGCTGCATCAGCCCCATGTCCTAACTAAACAAACATCTGGCCCCAAAAGACAGCCAGTAAGCAACAAAATCAGTTCATATTCAGGCCCATACTCATAACCAGTATCCTCTTGTCTTTCGAAAACCTCAGCTGTTTATATTTTCTACCCAAATGAACATTTCTTTTTTAATCTCAGGTAACCTAAAAAACTGGTCAATGCATTCAAGAATCAAGAACTGATTATACATCTTCTAGTCTTAAAAATATCTGAAAACAAGTTTACCTGGTCTTCCCTAAAACTTCTCTTAACAGCCTTAGTATCTGCAACGGTTCCTTAAGACAATTTTTCAGTGTTTCCATTTTTCTAGTCTTACTTGGCTGAGGAACTTATTTGTGCATGTCTCTTCAAGAGAAGCACTGAGAACTGAACATACTGTCTGTACTATGAGCAAACTAGCCAAAAGAAAAAGTGAGATTACCATCTCACTTCATTCTACAACAACAAATTCTATTACCAGTGGCTTTTGTTAATAGCCATATAAATGTGATGACTCATATTACACTCAAAATCAAAATGCTCATAACCTAACCACACGCATGCCTACACTCACCCATCCTACACTTGTTTGTGAATGTGGTAATTCAGTAACAGCAATGAAAACTAGGTAAATTAGGGATGTAAACAAGACAGCCTAGAGAATGCAGCTAGGAGACCTACTAGGGAACATGCTGGTTTCAAACATTTCTTCAGCCACGTTGGGGTCCCAATTATTATAAATCCACTGTCATTACTGAAAGGATCTTAAATCCCCAGACCAGGCTGATGATGCATCATGTTAGGTAGCCAGATCTTTTCTTCTACACATAATCACACTAAGCTATAAAATTAAAAGCAAATAAAGCAGGTTTTGTGTCATAAGTTTTGGAAGACCTCTCTCTCTCTCTCCCCCTTTCTCCGCAACTCTACCTTTCAAATAAATGAAATAAATTTTGAAAAAAAATTAATGAATAGACAGAGCCAATGAAATCACCAACACCAGCTGAGCTTCAGAGACTACTTCTCTTTCTAACAAAGAAATGACACCATTACGCTGTGTGCTAGATGTTCCCTATTTCTTCTGAGTACCCGACAAATAAGTATAAATGGCAGCGCAGACAAAGTCCCACTACTGAAGTACATTCCTTGGTGCATCCAGTTATGTCCACCCAAGCACACTGGACCCTCAGAGGACAAAGGAGAGGGACGGAGGAATTTCATACTCCATTGCTCCAGGGCCATTAAGCCTCACCAATTGTAATATGACATTACAATTATACTACCTGCTACTCACTGAGGCTGGGGGGAGAGTAGGAAAGGCAATGGAGGATGGACATGTGTATGTATGCATAAGCACAGTTCCTTACAAGGCACCTAAAATATCTCTGGAAAAGCCTGGAATGTTCATAACTTTCTGTTTTCCAAGTAAATTCTCTACCTGACCAAGAACTATAATCACATACAAAGATATTTAAAAGTTTCAAAAACAGTTTTTCAAAATCTCAATAATATAGAAGTAACTTACTTGGCAATCCGCAGCTTTCCGACTTCACCTCTGCCAGGGGCTTTAGCCCACTGCTGTGACAAATATTTGGGAACCTAAAATGAAGCAAAACATTAATAAGATCACTTTTGACGCCAATAGATCTTTACAAACATAAAAGATTTTCCTTCTACCTAATTTTCCTGGTCTGATAACTGAACATTAATTATAAAGTATGCTTTGCATTAGGAATGATACTAAGACAACATGAAAAATAATTTTAGTTCTCTAAGAGCTCAAAACCAATCTAGTTGGTGGCACAAAGTAACCACAGGCCAAATAACCTATCAACAATGATTCATAAAATAAGAAAAAAAACTATCAAAAAAGAAGTTCTCAGTGGAAGATAACAGTCTTGACTAGCTAGTTTTGATACTTAGAGACACATCTGAGTTTAAGATAGTTGCAAAAGTTAAGTTTGATTAACTTTACGACTGTAACTTCAGGGACTGGCATCGTGATGTAGTGACTTAGGCCACCACTTACAACACAGGCATTCCACATCACATAGCATCAGTTTAAGTCCCAGCAACTGTGTTTCCAATCCAGCTCTCTGCTAATGCACCTTGGAAGGCAGCAGAAGATGGCCGAGGTATTGGGATCCCTGCCACCCACATGGGAGACTCATGTGACGTTCCTGGGTCCTGGCTTTAGCTAGCCCAACACTGACTTTCATAGTTAACTGAGGAGTAAGCCAGAGGATAAAGATCTCTTTCTCTCTGCCTTTCAATTAAATAAATCTTAAAAAACAAAAAAGAAGAAGATTGTTGACTTCAACTGCTATAATAAAGAATCTGGAAGAATAAGTGTTAAACATAGCAGCTAACATTTAAGTGGGACTACCTTGCTGACAATGTTCTAAGGATTCTACAGATTAACACTCATTTAACCTTTACAACTTTAACTAGGTGTAGTTTATTGCCTGCCTTTTAGAGACAATGAACCTGGGATACCCAGGAATTAAATAATCCCCAAAGGTTATATAGTTAGTAAATGGTGGAGCCAGGATTCCAATGCACACAATCTGCCTCCAACAGGGTCTGTTTGTTAACCCACATGCTATATACACCTATAACTATATACTAGATACATATTATCAAATAGGTTTTAATGCCCCAAAAGGAAAATGAAATCATGTCAGCTGAGCTCCTACTACACACACTTTCATTTTTCCTCCCTGGACCATAGAATCAGTACACACCTTTAAGATGATCTATTAGGCCGAGTAAATGAGAACCCAGATCAACTATGCAGCATGATGCCTTACACAAAGCAAGTTCGCAAGTTCTCAGTGACTTAGGCACCACTGTTACATCTCACAGTGAGCTTAGGATAATAACATGAACATACATGAATAGCTGAGAGACAGCTGCCAAAGCTGAGAAAGAAGAAAAATTCTATCTAGTCAGATTTAGATCTCCTCTGCAAAACAAATCACCAATTAGTTAAATAAGTCAAATGCTTTGAACACAGTAAAAATTTATGAACAGAAAAGTCAAAACAACTCTGATGACTTTTTTTCAATTATGCATGCATTCTTCCCGCTAACACAAACTATTATGCGCCAGGCACTGTGCTACAGGTTGGAGAAAGAGAAAGTGGGACGGGAGTCAACAGTGTCAAGTACCACTCCAGACATGTCATCCCCATGATCCCATCTGACACTTCCAGCCACCCTACAAAATCACCATTACTCTCCTCATGCAACAGAAATCTGGGGCTCTAAGGATTGAGACAACAAAGGAAGTATCAAACACAAAACTTGATTCCAGACAAGACTGGCTTGACATTCCCTTTTGTCACACTATATTGCTTACCACAAGAGTACAAATGCTAAAAAAAAGATTACATAAAACATGTCAGGGAAAGAGCATTTTGTCAGTTCCACAACTGACAAGATTTCATCTGCATCTCACTCACTCAATACATTAAGAGGATTTGGCAAACTCTACGCTAACAATTTACCCATTAGTTCTCCTTTAATTATGAGACAGAAAATCCACTTAAGATAGAGGGAAGGAGGTACCATCCTGTGCAGGTGCAATGGCTCAATCGGCTAATCCTCCATGCCTGTAAGCACCAGCTTTCCACATGGGTGCCGGTTCATGTCCTGTCGGCTCCACTTCCCTTCCAGCTTCTTGGTTATGACTGGGAAAGTAGTAGAAAATGGACCGAAGCCCTGGGAACCTGCACCCAAGTGAAAGACCCAGAAGAAGCTCCCGGCTCCTGGCTTTGGATCAGCTTAGCTCTGGTTGTTGCAGATATTCAGGGAACAAACCAGCAGATGGAAGATACTTGTCTCTCCTTCTCTTTGTAAATCTGCCTTTCCAACAAAAACAAATAAATCTTTAAAAAAATAAAATGGGGGGAGGTTTGTTATTGACTCAAGTAACTAAACATTTCAAAGTGGCTTGATGAGGGTTTTATTAATGCCACCAGGAATCCCACCACTTCTGATCTCTTTTCTTTTCCATGTTCTTCTCAGTTCTTAGGCCTTCCTCTTGCACAGTAAGAGCTGCAAGCAACTCCCGAACAGCAAGAACCTTCTTCCCAAAGTCACTAGCGAATTTTGCCTCTCATGGCACTGTCCAAGGTCATATGCAGTCTGTCCCTATCACTGAAGCCAACGATATGACAAATTCGCTCAGCAGCTTCTGTCAATGACATCTTTACAGAGCAGTTAGCATCATCTCAATTTCAAAGATCAGGCAAGCAGTGGCTTCTTTGAGGAAAATCAAAATACTGTTATGTCAGAGTAAGTGCATACTGCTTGGTGAGGGAAGCAAATACACACAAACATTACTTGTCAGAACTAAATACAGGATCTAAAATTGATGTGTAAGTATAACATTGTAAGATCAAACAAAATCTCCAAATTCTTGGACTACATTAATTATTCAACTCATGTCCTCAATCTTAAAACTGCCTAACAAGTCTGCCTTTGCTTCTTGCTCAGTCTTTGATTTTTAACTCCAGAGGACTTCAAAGTCAATTACTCTAATGTAGTGGATAAACTATCTTCTACAGAATATCAGTGTACTCTGCAAATCTATCACAAGCTACATTCCCTAATAACTATGTACTTAAGGAAATTGTCTTTTCATCATCATATTCCAAGTTACTGGCTGAAATGAGTCCTACTTTTAGATATTCCCAAAATCTTATCATCAGTAAGTCCATCCCTTCCATAATATGTACTTCCAGCTAGCATTCTGACCTCCCTCTCCTAACTTCCCAGTTCTCTCCTCAGAACTAGGATTCCAACAATGCTTCTTTCCCTTCAATTCACTCAGTGCAGCTAATCTCTCTCTCGTCCCTCATTTCTTCTATCTTCAGTGAGCCTTGGCTTCCTGCATCCGTTAATATAATCATTTCCTCGCCCCATCTCATTCCAAACTGCCCTCTAGAGCCTTACTCCTGTTTTAAGCCAATCTCGACTTGATTACTTTTCAATCTATTTATTATTTTATTGTGTTATTATTCTTTCTCTTCCACCATGTTTGCACTTGAGCAATAAAAACTCACAATCCTGCTAACACTTCTCACTTTAAATACATGGCTCTAATCATCAAACAAACCTAAGGAGAACACCTGGCAACTTAACTACAAATCACTAGTCAGTTCACTTTCCTGACTCCAAGTCATTCAAGCATTCTCTTCATCACCTCTTCCCTCGCTTCCCTTCACGCTGATAATCGAACTTCCTTTTCCACTGAGGAAGGACAATTGCCTACATCTACCATGTAGCCAGTTAGATCTTCTTACCTACTTTCCCCTTTTAAAACAATGAAGAAAAGTTATGAAGTGTGTGGATCTGGGTTTCAGAGCAGTAGATAACATGCTAAGCAACACTCTTTTAAGTGCTTCCAATGCTCCATTTAATCCTTACACAGATGTATTATTTGCTCCATTTTACAAGTGAGGAACCTGAGGTACAGGGAAATTAACTGATTTGCTCAAGACCACACTCTAAGGGATAACTGTAGTCTTCTCTATCTCCTACCCCAGTTCTCTGCCTCTCTTGAGCAAAACTCCCTGACAAAGTTCTCTCCATGGGCTGCCTACATCTACTGCTCTGCCACTCTGTTTTGAATTCACTCTAGATAGGTCTTCCCACCACACCACTGAAACTGACGGCAGTTATCAAAGCTCTCAGTGTCGTTGAGCCAATGCTTAGCTCTCACCTTACACACATATCAACAAAACTTGGGAACTAAGTCTCTCCTCCTCCTTCAGACATTTCATCACTGAGCTTCTGAGTCACTATATTCTCTCAATCTTCCTACTTCTCTGGACTTATCTGATCTACATTCTTATCTTCCTGAGATCCCAACTACGGAAGGGCCCATGATGCACCTCAGATCTCTCCTCTGTACACACTCAGTTTTACATAATCTTATCCAGTCTCACGGTTTTAACTGCCATCTATAATATTAAGGCGAGCACCATGATGCAGCAAGCTAAGCTTCCGCCTATAACACCAGCATCCCATATAGGCACCATTTTAAGGCCCAGCTGCTCCACTTTCCATCCAGCTTCCTGTTTATGGCCTGGGAGAGCAGCAGAGGATGGATCAAGTCCTTGGGCCCCTGCACCCAACACTCATTAGAAGCTCCTAGCTGCTGGTTTCAGATCGGCTCAATAGGGAGTAGAAGAGTAGATGAAAAGTCTCTCTGTTCTTGTGTGTGTGTCCTTCTCTCTGTAACTCTACCTTCAAATAAAAATAATGTTTTTTTAAAAAATTCCATCCTATATGACAACTTCCATATTTATACCCAGCTAAGGCTCTTCCTCAAAGTCTACACCCAATTGCCTGCTCAAACGCTCCATCTGAATATGTAGCAGGCATCTCAAGCTCCATCTGCACACTAAAACCCTTCTGCTCCATTCATAAGCTCTATATCCTGCAATTTTCCACATCTCGATAAAAAGCAACTTTTCTTCCAGGCATTCAGGCTGGAACCCTGAATTATTTTTCTCTAACACTTCACATCAATCAACAGACATCCCAGACATCCTGTCAATAACACCTTCAACTTCTCACCAATTCCAATGT